GGGGGCCACTGGGGGGGGGGGGGGGCGGGGGGGGTGCCAGAAATGAAGACAGCCAGGAAGGTAGTCAGAAGTTGCCGAAGTCCTAAGTTGGGAGTCAGGGACTATCAGACCAGGGTCTGGCTCCGTCGCTTGCTCTGCTGTGCAGCCTTAGACAAACTGCTAGCCCTCTCTGGGCCCTCTGCTCTCCGCGTAAGCAGGCCGGAGGGAGGGACAAACCAGGTGGGCAGTGTCCCGCCGCTGCCTTTCAGACTTCAGCACCACGGACAGGTCCCGGGCCGCCCTCCCCACGGGGCCTCTCAGAGCTGGGAGAGCTCCGAGCAAAAGGTCGCGAGACTGGACTCCAACCACGCCCGCTCCTCAGGGCTATTATTCTGCAGGGGTGACGTGCAAATCTGGGTTTGAAGAGGATCCGCTCATGTCCTCTTTGTCCTCCCCTCCCCAGCCCCGAGCCCCGTGGAGGGGAGTCCCCGGGGGGGGGAGGTTTTGGAGAGAGAAGCCACTTCGAAGCCACTTCCCTGAGATTCCTAAGTCCCTGAGAGACTGAGAGGTCTGAAAGGGCACCATCGAGCTCTCGTGCAAGGAATAAGTCGGTGTGCAATCATTGTCCACTGGAGGGGCCGGCAGGTGGTGTGGTGCTTAGAGGCGCTGGATTGCCACATGGCTGACCGCAGTTCGAGTCCTGGACCTGGCAGCTTGCTTTCTCACATTCCCTTTCCCTCTCTCTCTCTCTCTCTGTCTCTGTCTGGTCATATTAAGTAATAATAATAGCAAAAGGAGGGCCAGCAGGTGGCATGGTGGTTAAGGGCACTGGACTCCCATATGGCCGACCACGGTTCGAATCCCAGACCAGGCACCTTGCTTTCACACATTCCCTCTCTCTCTCTGTCTTTCTTTGGTCTAATTAAAATGAGTGAATAAATAAAGTTTATTATATATAAAAATAATCATAATAACCAAAGAAATTAAATAATTCTTAACAAAATAAAAATAAAATATAATCGTCCACTGGATGCCCATAAACCACAGCCCCGAAACAGGGCAGATACCCATGGCTGAAATTTCTCGGCTGGCCCAGGAGGCATCTTTGCTTAACCGTGTGAAATCAGCGGATGGGGTGGGCTGGGGTGAAGTCCCTTCCTCCAGCTGGGAATTGGCAGCCTTTCAAAAATCCCAGAAACTAAGAATAGAACCTTGGTAACAACCGGAGTCTGGAATTGAAGCTGAGAATCGTGTCAGTCAGCAAACCCGGATGAAAGGCGGGCTTGGAGGCCCGTCTGCTGTCTGGATTGGGGACCCAGGGAGGACTGAGACTAGCTGCTGCCTTTTGTAGGGGGAAGGAGGCAAGCTTGAGAAAAGGGATTTGGGGGCCAGCAGGCGGCGTGGTGGTTAAGGCGCTGGACTCCCACATGGGCGACCATGGTTTGAGTCCTGGACCTGGCAGCTTGCTTTTTCACTTTCTCTCTCTCTTTCTATGTCTCTCTCTGGTGAATGCACATGCCTTATAACAAACTTAAAAATAAATAAATAAATAAATAAATAAATCATTTTAAAATAAAAAAAGAAAAATGGGATTTTTGAGCTATTGTTTCATTTTGTATAGTTTTTGCCATAAGATGCATGCATGCACTTGCCACAGTTAAAGTGAGACATCACCCCTCCGCCCCAGGGGGATGGCTGTGTTGCAATCCCCTTTCCTCCATTCTCCTCTTTATTCTTGGCTATGTGGGAGTCCACTGCCTTAACCACTATGCCTCTAGCTGGTCCCCATTTTATATATTTTCACTTATGTCCTATCGATTTTTTTGGAGAGGTTTTTTTTTTTTTTTTTTTTGCTATAGGGCACGTACGCTCGCCAGAAAGACAGAGAGAGACAGAGAGACAGAAAGCGAGAAATCATCCCCCAGGGGGGGTGGCCACGCCACAATCCCTTCTCCTCCATTCTCCTCTCGGGATCTTGGGCACGCACACACATGCGCCCGGTGTGAGTTTAAGCCACCAGATCCGGGACTCGAACCACGGTCGACTACGTGGGAGTCCAGCGACATAGCCATGATGCTAACTGCTGGTCCCTGTCTTATTGATTTCTTCCACCCACCTGGTGTTATTCCCATCTTCGGCTGAATTCCAAGGAAGGAACCCAACCCACGTGCTCCATACCTCCTCCCTGTGTACCCAGCACCCTGAGGCCCAGAGAGGGCTAGCAGCTTGCCTCAGGCTGTACAGTTGGGCAGAGGTTGAGACCAGGTGATGGGCTGGTACCAGGAAAAACGTGAGACACAGAGAAGTTAAGCTACTTGCTCAAGGTCACACAGCAGGGAATGAAGAGAATGTTTACTCCAGATCTGAATCACTCCAGCCCCCATGTTTCTGACCACAAGCCTCACTGCTTGGATCCATTTTTTTTTCTTAATTCATGATAGAGCACACGAGAGAGAGAGAGACAGTCTCCACAGGGCTTGGTCATGACACAATCTCCTTCTTCCAGCCCTTCTGCCTAGCAAATCCTAGGGCACTCAAACACACATCTGACATGTTTCAGATGGATGTGGCCAAGGATTCGAACCAAGATCACCATGGGGGATCTGGTTTTTCTCTCCCATCTTTTTTTCTTTTCTTTTCTTTTTCTTTTTCTTTTTTCTTTTTTTAAGAATTATTTAATTTAATTTTTTAAATTTACTCATTCATTTATTTTACTTCGACCAGAGAGAGAGAGAGAGAGAGAGAGAGAGAGAGAGAGAGAGAGAAAGCTCACACGTACAAGACTTGAACACCGGCCA